GGCTGGATGGGGGCTGCAGCAGGCCAGCCCCAGCTTTCCACATGGGCCCTCAGGAGGGCTAGGCTGGGAGTGGGTGGGGTTTGGCTCCTGTGGACACAGAGCCTACATCTACACTGCAGAGTTTTTGTGCAAAACCAGCTGTTTTTGCGCAAAAACTCACAGAGCGTCAACACTACTAGCGCGTTCTTGCACAAGAAAAAGTACAGTAAATTGTAAGAACACAGAGCTTTTTGCGCAAGAGTTATTCCTCTTTCTACGAGGAATAAGCCTTTTTGTGCAAGAGCTCTTGCGCAAAAAGGCATGCGTGGACAGGCAACAGAGGTTTCTTGCATAAGAAACCCCTATGGCTGAAATGGCCATCAGAGCTTTCTTGCGCAAAAGCACATAGCAGTGTAGACATGCTCTTGTGCAATAACTTTTTGCGCAAGAACTCTTGCACAAAAAGTTCTTGTACAAGAAGCCTGCAGTGTAGACGTAGCCAGTGTGATATGATGATATCACTTGGTCAGCCCACAGGAATTTGTTTTTATATAGAAAGAGAGATATTACATAATACATGCCCCTTAATTTTGGAACATCAGGGCCATAGACCATAATGGTGATGCCATAAATCTATTCCCTATTTTACTTCAGCATAACTCATCTTTTCCAAGGGAACCCAATTCTATACTTGTTTTCTCAAAAAAAACAAAGTGCCAGTGAGTTAAATCAGGCTTACTCCAAAATTAAGTGCTCTCCAAGCACAGTCAGTCTTAGCTTTTTGGTACGGTAACTTGATTTAAATCAATGATTTTTTTTGGTGATTTAAATCAATCCACCCTGATCTAAGGTAATGTTCCTCCAGTCAGTTTCTTCTCTTTTCCTGGTACTGAGGGTGGATTGGAGCACAAGGGTTCTGAACAGAGCCACACTTGGCATGTGCACTCACACTTATGCGTGGTTGGCTAAGGGCCTGCTTGGAGACATGGGTTCCAGATACTTTCATTTCTTTTGCCCCATTTTCTTCACCATGTCTCATCACAGTAGCTGATGCAATGCCACTATATCACATGATATCAGTACTCACAACATGGCTACGTCTACACTGGCATGAATTTCCGAAAATGCTTTTAACGGAAAAGTTTTCTGTTAAAAGCATTTTCGGAAAAGTGCGTCTAGATTGGCAGGATGCTTTTCCGCAAAAGAACTTTTTGCGGAAAAGCGTCCATGGCCAATCTGGACGTGGTTTTCCGCAAAAAAGCCCCGATCGCTTTTTTCACGATCGGGGCTTTTTTGCGGAAAACAGTACTATGCTGTCTACACTGGCCCTTTTGTGCAAAAGTCTTTCGGAAAAAGACTTTTGCCCAAACAGGAGCAGCATAGTATTTCCGGAGAAGCACTGATGATTTTACATGAGATCGTCAGTGCTTTTCCGGAAATTCAAGCGGCCAGTGTAGACAGCTGGCAAGTTTTTCCGGAAAAGCAGATGATTTTGCGGAAAAACTTGCCAGTCTAGTGCGTGGACAGGCAACAGAGGTTTCTTGCATAAGAAACCCCTATGGCTGAAATGGCCATCAGAGCTTTCTTGCGCAAAAGCACATAGCAGTGTAGACATGCTCTTGTGCAATAACTTTTTGCGCAAGAACTCTTGCACAAAAAGTTCTTGTACAAGAAGCCTGCAGTGTAGACGTAGCCAGTGTGATATGATGATATCACTTGGTCAGCCCACAGGAATTTGTTTTTATATAGAAAGAGAGATATTACATAATACATGCCCCTTAATTTTGGAACATCAGGGCCATAGACCATAATGGTGATGCCATAAATCTATTCCCTATTTTACTTCAGCATAACTCATCTTTTCCAAGGGAACCCAATTCTATACTTGTTTTCTCAAAAAAAACAAAGTGCCAGTGAGTTAAATCAGGCTTACTCCAAAATTAAGTGCTCTCCAAGCACAGTCAGTCTTAGCTTTTTGGTACGGTAACTTGATTTAAATCAATGATTTTTTTTGGTGATTTAAATCAATCCACCCTGATCTAAGGTAATGTTCCTCCAGTCAGTTTCTTCTCTTTTCCTGGTACTGAGGGTGGATTGGAGCACAAGGGTTCTGAACAGAGCCACACTTGGCATGTGCACTCACACTTATGCGTGGTTGGCTAAGGGCCTGCTTGGAGACATGGGTTCCAGATACTTTCATTTCTTTTGCCCCATTTTCTTCACCATGTCTCATCACAGTAGCTGATGCAATGCCACTATATCACATGATATCAGTACTCACAACATGGCTACGTCTACACTGGCATGAATTTCCGAAAATGCTTTTAACGGAAAAGTTTTCTGTTAAAAGCATTTTCGGAAAAGTGCGTCTAGATTGGCAGGATGCTTTTCCGCAAAAGAACTTTTTGCGGAAAAGCGTCCATGGCCAATCTGGACGTGGTTTTCCGCAAAAAAGCCCCGATCGCTTTTTTCACGATCGGGGCTTTTTTGCGGAAAACAGTACTATGCTGTCTACACTGGCCCTTTTGTGCAAAAGTCTTTCGGAAAAAGACTTTTGCCCAAACAGGAGCAGCATAGTATTTCCGGAGAAGCACTGATGATTTTACATGAGATCGTCAGTGCTTTTCCGGAAATTCAAGCGGCCAGTGTAGACAGCTGGCAAGTTTTTCCGGAAAAGCAGATGATTTTGCGGAAAAACTTGCCAGTCTAGACACAGCCCATATGACCACCACAACTGTGAGTTTCCTTTGCTATGTTAATCTTCTTTAATCATTTGTGTTGAGCTAGTGACCTCATAGACACTTGTGCTTTTACATCTGCCTGGTATATTAAAGTCAGTGAGCTACTGACCTCATAGAGGGCGCAGCCTTATCATCAGCCAAGAAGGTCCTGAACCAGTGAGCTCACAAGTTCTTTTACTTGAAATTAGCCAAGCAACATGAAGTGCTGAGCCAGGAGCCTCAAAATGGCCTGTTCTTTACCTTCAGCCTTCTGAACTAGAAAGGATTCTAAGAACATTGACAGAATGATTCAGGGCATGGAAAAATTCTCTTATGGAGAGACATTGAAAAGATTGAAATTATTCACCTTAGAAAGGAGACAAATTAAAAGGAGACATGATAAAAATCCATAAAATGTCTCGTACAGAAGGTAGATCAGGGGCTTCCATTCTTCCTGTCTTGCAGCACGGGAAGAAGGGGTTGTTCAATGAAATAAAAGGTGGGAAATTTAAAAAATGATAAAAGAAATATATTTTGGATAATTAGACTAATTAGCACCCAAAGGTGAGGAGGGCAAGAAGTTAAGATTCCAAAAGGGACTTGGCATGTATATGGATATCAAGAACATACGATTATTATTGTTAATGATCATTTTGAGGAAAGGGTATTTGTGTGATGTGTGTGTCAGGGCATAAACCAGTCTCTAATGGTTGGAGATGAGGATGAGATGGGGCACATTATTCCACATCTGCTTGCTGTGGGGTTCTTATATTTTCCTCTGAAGCACCCGGTACTGTCTGAGACAGGATACTCAACTAGGTGGACCTCAGGTGTGATTCAATTTGGCAATTTCTTTGCTCCTAAGATGAAGCTTCAAAGCCAACAACCTCATAGAGACCTATAATTTCACATCAGTCCATTAAGTTATGGGTGCAGAGGCATTAATATCACCATGATCCATTTTTTGTCATTATCTCAGCAAGCTAGAGATGCAGCGGCAGACTTCACAGAAAGCTAAGCTCTCACATAAGCTCAGCAAGCTGGAGGTGCTAATCAAGAAACTTCACAGAGCTCTTTTCCTAGACATCCTCCCAGCATTCTAACACTGCTGAGCTAGCATCCCGAGCTTTTGCATTAGCCCAGCCAATTACACAAGCGGAGCCAGTGCATGCACAGAGAGTTGTGCCTTAACATCCTCCCAGCAAGAGTTGAGTAAGTGAACTCACAACAGTACAGACACTGACACCAAGACAATGCTACTGAACCAGTGACTTCAAAGGGTCTGTGCCTTGTGATTATTCTAGCAAAGTAGAGGTCCTTTGCCAGTAACCACAGAAAGGCCTGTGCTTTATTGTCATCCAGCAAGATGAAAATGCTGAGCCAGTAACCTCAGGGAGGCCTGGGTCTTTGTATCTGCCCAGTAAACTAGTCATGCTGAACAGAGGATAAAGTAAGGGGGCAACACAGCTCCCCCTGCTCTGCTAAAAACACCCCACCTCACCCTCTCCTGAGCTTCAGGGTACATGCAATTTGTAGAAAATATGTGTGATAAAATGTCAACCCTGGCAATCAGTTGACATATCTATTTTGGTTTACATTATAGTTTAGGCTATCTTTGAAAGGGAACGATCTACAAACTTACAGAAAAGAAAAGAAAAGAAAAGAAAAGAAAAGAAAAGAAAAGAAAAGAAAAGAAAAGAAAAGAAAAGAAAAGAAAAGAAAAGAAAAGAAAAGAAAAGAAAAGAAAAGAAAAGAAAAGAAAAGAAAAGAAAAGAAAAGAAAAGAAAAGAAAAGAAAAGAAAAGAAAAGAAAAGAAAAAGCGGACACCTTCATATTTCCAGATGCCACAAACCAGGGGTGAGGGCTCTGCAGGGCCCAAAGTTTGACTCAGGGTTGAATGGATCAGAGCAAACTTTGAGCACAGATTTTTCTTAAAGGTGAAAAAAAGCTAGCCTGCATTGTAAGAGGAATTATACGTGCTGCATGATGCCAATGCAGAAAGCTGAAGGGTGTGCCCAGTGTTTTTCTAAAAGTTCTAATTACACAGAAACCTTACAGAGCTGTAGGGTACTGGGGAATGTAATAGTTGTTTGGAGAAGCTTTCTAGACATAGATGGGTACATTTTCTTCTGGGCCTCTATCCAGCTTGTGCGCGCACATTTATTCACACAGAATTGTAGCATGCACACATTTATGCCTGCACTTTGCAGGTGGAAAAACCAAGAAGTTGCTATAAAAATTCTAACATTGCGATGTGCATCTTAAAAACTGTGCCTGTCCAAGCTTTTTGCAGGGTCAAATGTGAACATTTATGCATGTGTTGCTGTAAATCAGTTGTATGTGCATGTGTTGGCACCTGCATAGACAATTGTCAAACATCTTGTGTTTGGAATGTTGAGGCCACAGACTTGTGCCTAATCTAGCTAGTTCTTTTTACTAGAACCCAAGTCCTAAATGTTTAAAGATCCTTGGATGAAAGTGACATTAAAAGCATCCTGTCTGTCCACATTTATATCTCTGGTTGTGGGATCTGCCTTTCTATTGTCCCAGCCTCTGCCTGTGGCATCTGTCTACTCCTCCGTTGTCCTGTCTGGCTGTCCTGGTATCCGTCCATCTGTCCCCTCATCTCAGTTTCCTTAACAGCACATTGCTGCCGACTCCTTTTTGTGCCATGCTTTTGTCTTTGCCTTGCATCATGCCGGCTGCTGGGCGGTGAGCCCATGAGCTGAGTGGCTGGCTGGGCATTGCCAACCGCACCCTACAAGCGTGTCTACTCCTCCGTTGTCCTGTCTGGCTGTCCTGGTATCCGTCCATCTGTCCCCTCATCTCAGTTTCCTTAACAGCACATTGCTGCCGACTCCTTTTTGTGCCATGCTTTTGTCTTTGCCTTGCATCATGCCGGCTGCTGGGCGGTGAGCCCATGAGCTGAGTGGCTGGCTGGGCATTGCCAACCGCACCCTACAAGCGGC